CGGGGGGGGGGGGGGGGCTGCCTGCTGCAGGCTCAGGCTCCTGTCCTGCTGCCCTCCTCCAGGGCCTCTGAGGCCCAGAGGCTGGGACTTGGCACAGCAGTGCAGAGCAGGACCAGGCAGGGCAGCTCAGTGCTGCTGCCATGAGCCTGGTGCTGCCATGGTGAAGAGCCCCACGCCCACCCAGCAGCAGTGGGAGGCACATCTCTGTCCCCATTGCTGTCAGGTGGGCAGGGGGTGCTTCGCCATGGCAGCGTGGGGCTTGCAGCAATGGCACCGAGCTTCCCCACCCCACTCTGCCCTGCCACACTGGGTCCCGCGCACTGGGCCATGGAAGCCCTGAGGGGAGGACAGCAGGGTGAGGAGCCTGAGCCCACAGTTGGCCTGAGCACCCCACCCCGTGTACAAATCTGAGAGGCCTGTGCTCCCCATTCCCCCCCTGGGACTGCACGCAGCAGTGGGCGGGCAGCACCCCTACCCCCCTGGACAAACCGCTTGCAGCCCAGGCCCTGCGGCCATGCGTGGCCCCAGGTCCCAAGCTGCATGCACTGCTTGGGTTGGGCAGCAGCCACAGCCCTGCCCAACTCCCTCCCTCGCTATGGGGGGAGGGGGAGGGGGCTCAACAATCCCTTGACTTACCTGCTGGGGGCTACAGGAGTTGCTCTCCAGGCCACCTGGTGGCCATGTGCATTAGTGCATGCATATGGCGCCCCCTGCCGACCGCCCTCCTCCCACTCCCCGCAGCCCCTTGCAGGCTGGAACTCTGCCAGCCTGCAAGGGGAAACCCACCGTAACCTGCATGTTTCTCCTTAAAAGGCAAAAATCCGTGTTCTCCTTAAAAGGGGAAAATTCACAGTTTACCGCATTTTTCCATTGCAAACAGAAAAGACGAATCCCTGGTGATAATCTTACTACAGTCATATACTACAACTTTCTTAACTATCAAAACAGGGGCTAGGATTTAAAAGATATTGGTCAAATTCAAAAAATACCTATAGTCCTGCAACAATGCTGCACAAGAATTTAGAAGAAAGAGATAACCTAACTATATGATGACCTATGCGATGGCATCATATGAAATCAATTCCAATTTATCTCAATCAAAAGATAGCTAAAACTGCTGTGGAGACAGTGTACTCCACTCACACATGCACTGCATACATACATAATTCACTTAAGAATGAGACACCAAAGTCAGTCCCAATTTGCTGCCTACTGCAGATAGTAACAAACTTCTGTTGTCTGCATATTGCTCGAGCACAGAGTGATATAAATAGGGATCTACTCAAATCGCAGTTTTGCAGAAGTCTCAACATGGGGCAATCTCCACAAAATCAGCTGAGCGGGGGAGGAAGGAACAATAAAGACCTTACTAAAAATAAAATCCTGGCTCCCCCGCGTCAAATGATTAAATTAGGGCTGTCCACCTAGTGGCCCATGTGCCACATGGGGTTAACACTCAGGCTGTGGGTTCCCACCCAGGCATTTCTCCTTTTGTTGCTGCTGTTATGAGGGTCTCAAGGCTATCCTACCCTCTTCCACCTTTTTTTTCTGAACCTGCCATGGGGAAAGGGAGAAAGGAACAGAAGGCAAGGGTGAGGGGGGAGGAGGAAAAAGAGAGGACAAGCATCAGGATACCTGCGTGGGGATTGTCAAGAGGGAGGGCACATGGCATGCAGGTAACCCAGGGGTCCCATGGCCCATGCAGCTTCCAGCCCCTGGCTGCTCAAAAGTTGGACAGCCTTAGCTCACACTAAGTTTGGATAAGTACATAGCCTTTAAGTCCTGAAGCTGTGCACTCTGTACGCTGTAAATCAAGGACTGAAATGTTAACAACTTAAGGTCAAATACTTGCCACGTTAATTTCCAGACCAGTGTCAACATCTCTGATAATTCAAGGCCAAGGGAAAATTTAAGGAAAGCTTTATACAAGGATAAAAATAATATATTTTAAAAAAATCTATTTTTAATGTACTATATTTTCCTTTTTAAAAGCACATCTTTTAAATTAAATTTGACAACCTAGTTAAAGCTAAACTTGCTATGATCTATTAATATTATAGCCATGACATAAATCCCAAACAGTATGCTTACTGATAAAGCTTTAGAGTAGATAGTCAAGCTACTGAACTGCTAAAAACTTAGCCAGCACTCAAGGTAGATTTGTATCTTATAGACTAGAGTAACCACATATCCAGGTTTTCCTGGACATGTCGTCTTTTTGGGTCCTCCCATCTCTGTCCAGGGTTTTTTTTTTTTTTTTAAATATCAGAAAACGTCTGGGATTTTGCTCTGCCTCTGCTCCAGCAAGTTGCTGCTTGGGGTGGGGGCAGCAGGGGAAGGCGACTGGAGGTCAGGGCATCACCTGCTCTGTGCGCAGGCCCCAGCAGCTGGAGGAAGGTAAGTCTGTGCGTGAGTATGTGTGCCTATGCCTGCTGGTGCTGGGGCTCCTGCAAGGCGGGGAGGTGGAAGAAAGGGGTAGGTGGGTTCTTTGGGGGCAGCAGAGATGCAGGGGGCTGCAGGTTGGGAGTGAGGGTCACCAGCAGGGTGAGGCGGGGGGGGGCTGTGGCTTGGGAATGAGAAGCAGGGGCAGGGCACGGGCATCACTGACTCCCTACCCCCCCCAATCATATACTCCCTCCCTCCGCAGCACAGGTGTCCTTTTATGAAACTGGAAATATGGTAACCCTATTATAGACAAAAGAGAGAGAGCGAGAAAGAGAGGGCATGAGCACACATACACAT